TTTGTAAGTCATCTATAATAGCTTTCTTTTGGTGTATTTGTTAGTTGTTGGTAGCTTGTAATTATGGCTTTTAAAAAACATTTTATTGATCAGCTCTAATAATTAAGAATGGGTCAAAAATATCATCAAATACATTTACATGAGTTGCAACCTTGGTTTATATTTTTTAAGAAACTGGCTACACGTAACTTTGATTTTGTTTACAAAAGCTGATCATTGAAGATCAAGAGGAAAATTTATCATTCACTGTCCTGGAAACCCAGAAATACGATAAAGACTGAAAGCTCAGTCAGTCAGCTAAAACACTTTGTTTGTGTTGAATTCCTGTTGCCTCTTTTAGTGTTGAAGTTGGAGGAGTTCAAGTACAAAACAACTTTAACATTCTTAGCAGTTGCGGGAGAAATTTGAAAAATGGAAAACTGACCAGAAAAACCTGTGTTCTCGTCTGTGTGTCAGGCAGCGTGACACTGTGCAGGTCAGCATGACACAAGATTCACAACCTCTCGCTGGTGGAGACTGTAGGATCAAAATGTTTATTATCTCAGTTGAAGAAGCCAAGTGTTGTCATGAAATACATACATTTGGACCCTGTTTGCAGAATATCAAACCTTTTGTCTGATCATAAAGCCGTTATAATAAGGATCCCACAGTTAAGTTCATGGAAAATATAGACTATTTGTTAACAGTTAAAAAGTAACTTCTACTTCATTTGCGAGTTGTGTGTCATATCCCCGTCACTTCTCTAAGAGCGTATGCTGTGGCTACGTCTAGCAGGGCAAACAACAATTTTCTCACCAAACACATTACACAGGATGAAGATACAGTGGTGTGTTTAAATCCAAAATAACAAATCACTGTCAAGCCTAGAAGTTAAAAGCACGACTCTCTCTTGCAGGGCCATCAGCAGCATGTTGGCATGCTGAGCGATAAAAGTTTGTATTACCTTGGTTTTTACTGAACACGCTCTTCTCTCTGGTCAGGCTGACCCACACAGAAGTGCTATCAGAGGATAAACTGTGTGATGACATCATTGATTTGCATTTGAAAATACCTACATGGCAACACACCAGCGCTAGTTTGCATCTTGTTTGCCTGAATACAAACTCTAGCCTTTTGTTATCTGTGAGCCATGCCCTGTAGCTGTAAAATGCCTGGTACTCTCAATACACAGCTTCGCTGAAGGTTATAAAAATAGAAAGCTCAGGGACAACTGCACAGAGAAGTGCTGCTATCACCCCCCCTCCCTCCTGCCAGCTCACTGAAGGGAAGTCAGCTTGTAACCCAAATCTTAAATCACTCTACTTCTCTGTATGTTGTTTTAAAAAAAAAAAAAGGAATGCCATATTTGTGATTTGCCAGAAACCAAAATGACATTGCTGGCTGCTGACCTCAAGTTAATTGTTTAATCATTTCTTCTTGCAGTCATAATGAAAAGAGAGGTAAAGACTGGAGTCGACTTCCTCAAGCGCCTGGTATTGGCTCGTGGCAAGCTTGATGAAACCAAGGTAGAATTGTTTGCTGAGAAGCTTCAGAAACTCTTGTGTGACAAATATGAAGACCACTGGTATCCTGACTACCCCAGCAAAGGCCAAGCCTACAGGTACAGTTATCAAAAAGTCATTTCTGTAATTTGTAAAATTGATGGCGTAAACCCATGGATTGCAGAGTAACCAATCTTTAATGCTTAAACCCTCACAGGTGTATCCGGTTAAATAACGGAGGACCCTGTGATAAAGAGGTCCTGAAGGCATGTGAGGAGAGTGAGCTCACACACAGTGAGCTCGGCCTTCCTCATGAGATCACACTGTGGATCGACCCACTGGAGGTGTGCGCAAGGTGAGTCACCGGCTTGTCTGCTGAGTCGGAGGCAGAGAATGTAACAGACAGACACGCTGTAACAACAAAGAAGAACTTCTCAGTCTAGTATTCTGTGAAATGACAAAGTGTAAAGCAGGAATATTTGTGGCAATTGAATTAGAAATAAACTGTGTTGTTTGGTAATAATCCGCTTATCTTTACAGAGCTGGGGAGAACAGCAGGCCCTTTGAAATAGCCTCATTTGATGAGGACGACACGGAGTGTGTGAAGGGAGAACATGATGACTCCTCAGTGGCATCTATAAACCTGGACACGTCAGACTACCATTCTGCTACCTCTTCAGATTGTGGCTCCACTGCCTCGAGTGACACAGAGGAGGAGGCAAAAGAAGGCGAGACGGGGAGAGAGCAAAAAAAAGAGAAGGAGGAGGTTGTCAAGAAGAATGAGGCGGCAGAAGACGACCCCTACCCCATAGTGATGGTGCCTAGGGTTCGGAAACGGAACGCAGATGGACCAAATAAGGTCAAATACGTCAGAAATATGGTAATTATTGTCACCTAACACTTAAGGGCTGAGGCATGGAATATTCATCATTGATCTTTAAGAAATAAACTAATGTGTATTTTTCAAATAGCCAAAATCCTGATGTAACTTATTGCTCCTAGCTGTAGAAAGTGTGTGATGATATGTCAGTGAGCCATGCTGATGCAATGTAGTGTGTGTCACTCCCACATTCACCATCCTTCTGCTGTTATACTTCTGCAGATTAAATCAAATTAATCTGCAGAAGAAACGGTGCACAACAAATTGACTTGTGTTTGAGTTACGTTGCTATAAAACAAGGTACCAGCTGATTTGAGAACTGAGCCTGAAGAAAACAATGAAGTGTAATATTTGTGACCAGCTTCTACAGATTTCTGTTAGAAACGGATGCATGGTCCACAGAGAGGGTAGGGCAGTCTGAAAGAAAGACGTGTGCATTATTGATTTAGGTCTTTATATGGTGTGTGTCAACAGTGTGATAAAGTTTCCGCATTGCATGTTCTACAAAGGAAAGAACCATTGATTCCTCTTGTATGGAGTATTTTACCAGTCATGCTAGAAGCTCTTCATCTTCCCCTCCTAATCTCTCATGCTCCTTCCAATCTCTCTCTGTTCAGCTCCCTGCTAGCCTCCAGTACTTCTACCAGCCTGCACCAGTCTGGCCTCAGTACAAGAAGGGTGCTCCCATGTTTCTGAACTCGGTGTGCGTGCCTCCAGCGCCGCCTCCTCCTCCACCGCAGCAGGTATTTGGCTACTACATCCTGCCCCAGCCGTCTCCACAGTTCATCCTGCCTCAAGCTGCCCTGCAGCCGGGGGGCTGTGAAGGGTTAGACCGGCCAGGAAGTTTTAGGTGAAGATGGATTTGAGCAATACAAGATCCTTCAACTGAGCCATTCCATGTCAGATCTCAGCTGTGTCAGAGTTTAACGTTGGGCAAAAAAAGGAGAGCTGAAGGTTATGCCTCGCACAACTTCTTTTAATTGTTTTATTTTTCCTGTTTCACAGTTTGTTTGTTTTTTAGAATCTATCAAGTCCGCACTGCTTGTTATTTGTTAATTTGGTTTACAGTAAGGCTGACTGACTCAGGAACTCTTGGAAATATCTTCAAAGCCAAACAAATGTCTATTCAGGGGTTTTATCTCTTATTATAGCAATCTTTGTATGTTTTCTCACATTAAGGGTCCTAAAGTGTAAACATTATAGCTAATCAATGTAAAATGATATTCAGGGTTTTAATCTAATGTAGCTAGAGTGATGATATCTGTATATTAAGAAATATATTTTTTACTAAACATATTGTAAATAACACACAACTTAGACACCATAGACTGATGCACACTTTCTAACCTTGCGGTTTTGTCATTGTTGTAATTTATATGGCCACAACTGGATGGCAATCACCTCACAGCTTATATTTGAACTTTTTATGAAATTGTATATATATTTTTTCATTACAGTGGCAGCTGTATATCCAACGTCATGGATCACAAACATGTTTTTGGATGGCCTTAAGTCTTTCTGCTGTAAAGTGAATTTGTTAAACAGCTTCCTTAGAGCTGTGTTTTTAAGGCTGTAAATAATTTGCTTTATCAGAAATACGCTACAGCTATAGAAAACGTGAATGGATGTTTCACCCTCTGATTTTTATCTGCTTTTATTTTTTGTTTGTGGAATGATATTGATATTTGTTTTATGTCAATGCAACTTGCAGATTATTAAATCAACACAAGCCTGAAATGATCACTTGTGTCCTCTTGTCTTATTTGCTGTTTGGCAAACTCCTTCAAGAGGCAGAACACTCCACTTAATGTCACAGAGCAGTAATGACCGTCACACTTTGAGCTCTCAGGATGCTGCAGCTGAAGGACTCCTGTACGCTCAGTGCGTCATCAGCTCAAGGTCATGACGCTGTTCCTTCTGAAGGACGTGGGGACAGAGTTTGTGCTCTGTACCTAACTCCCTTTTAGGCCTATGGAGGGTTTGCAGGAAATGAAGGAAGTATTGGCAAATCAACTGAATACGTCTAACTAGGGAGTCATTTGCAGCAGTTAGGCAGCAAGGACACACTATAAAGAGAGTGTGCATATTTACATTGATAAATATTCTCAAAAGGCCTTCCTCACGTTTGAAATAAGATGACTGAAATGTGAAGGCCAGTACAATGTATGCAGACCTTGACTTGTGTTTTGAATAGGCAGCAACAAGTCGATGGTTGACAGTTCAGCCACGAGAGGTCACTGTGGTGCTGTTTTGAAACTCAACACCGTTGCAGTAGGTTACCAATACATAAATATACATAGGTGTTAGTTATCAAATATTTGTGTTTGTGCACTATTATTTGAATCACATAAATTTTCTTATCTTGTTTGACCTTGACCATAAAAAAAAATCAACTTACAAGCTCTTACTTGTGCAAATGTTGTAGTCCAAAGAAAAAAAACAAAAACAGTTTTCCTTTTTTATTTTCAACTTTTTTTTTCTGAGATTGTATAGTGCAACAAAAAAACGTTGTGGCAGACAGAGTCATTCTCCAAAAATAATAAGCAATGATACAAATAAGGTAGCCAACACAGCCGACTGCGCCGAGCCCCTGCAGTGTGCAAATGACATCAGTGCTGCGTCAGCACGCCACGCAGGTTAGTAGGAGTGTTAAGGTGAGGGTGTAGTAGAGGCAAAGTGTTTAATTGAACCTGCTACTTCAATGAGCAACCCACGGGAGGAGAAGGGCCTTGAACTCAGAGCGCCCATCGGACTGTGCCTTCCCCGACTGTGGGGGGAAGCAGCAAGGGGAGCGGACAGGCGAAGGACGGGGAAGCGAAGGGGGACCGGAGTGAGACAGGCACAGGCGGCTGCGCTCTCCTCAAGTGCGCTTTGGAGATGGAGATGACGAACCGCAGCCTACACGGAGATTTAAAAGTGGATTGTGTGAACTGCGATGGCTTGAACAATCGAAAAAGTAACGATCTGGCAGAAGTATCCGTGTCGCTTACAGGGAAACGGACAGCTCTCATGGAGGGAGACAACCTCTACAGACTACGGGACCGAAAGTTGTTGGTTGAGCAGAAGAAGCGGCTCTGCGCATTGTCCCTGGGAGCTGCTATGCTGGGGATACTGCTCATGATCATCAACGCCGAGATATGTCGCTATGATCCGGTACGTTTGATACATTAACTCTACAGTAATAGCGAGAAGGTTGAATAAATCAGATTATGACAGAAAATTAGTGTTTGAGGAAAAACTAGTTTTTGTTTACATGCTTGCCTTACAGTGTGTTGCCTATCTACAGCTCTGTAATTCTCATCATGTTAGTAAGTGTCAGTCTCACAAATCACAGAAAACTTAACTAAATTCCGTCACTTTCAAACATGTCTTAAACGTGCATCTGCAAAGTTCAACTTTTAGCACAACTATGCATGCTTTGTAAAGCAGCCATTTTTCTTTTTTACTGTATTAACAACATTGATTCGTGTTGTTTTGCAGGCTTGTCATAACATTTTAATGAAAGACTACGGGCTTGAACTTAACATTAAAGCTACTATGAGGAGTTTTTAGCTTGTTATGAAACAGACTGAAATTAATCCTGATGAGTCTGTATAAGCTACAAAAACAAACGAAACCATCAGCAACAAGATAGCATTTCTATATGGTCATTTTGAATGCCTGTAAATTCAACGGGGTAGATGTCAGATGAATTGATTATCAGCACCCCCTCTGAAAAAAATCCCACAGCATGTTACCTAATGAGTTTTACATTAGACTGTTAGAAGAAAAGAGGGAAGACATTCTTTTTTTGCTAAAGAAAAAAACTCCTTTTATATGTAGGCTACAGAACACAATCATCAGGAGTTCCTCACAGGAGCTTTAAAAATAGAAAATTGATAATGTCCTTGCTTTCCGTATCATAAAGGTAAACACAAGTGTGTTCAATGATGACAGCATCCTGAAGTAAGGGCTCCAAGTAACTTTTCACCCAGACAATAGGCTACTAAAACAGCTGCAAACAAATGAATATATTTAGGCCTATAATAAAATATGTGAAATAACTTTGAATTTATTTTTCTCATTTATTCCTGCATTTTTCAGTAAATGCAACAGAAGTGCTCCTTAACAATTTCCTTGATTAGCTGACAGCCCCGACACAATCATGCAGCACCCCAGCAGAACCTGCACCTGGGTTTTGACCTCCCCGACCCGCTGATTAGTTCCTCCATTTCCAGACACACAATTTGGTAGCTCGGCCTCATGACATTAACATGCAGATCTCAGTGGATAACAATGCCAGGCCTCACAATCAACAAATTATTAACTCCCCCCTGAGCTCCTCTAGCACAGCACGCGCCAGCTCCACATGTGGAAAAAAGTTCTCATCCGTGCCGCAAAACATCAGACCACCTCCATGCTGTGAAGTCAGTGATTGATTACAGTGTCAAAGAACTGCACATTTCTCACTCAGGTCAGCGAGCATTTTGAGGAACCTATTGAAATAATGCCTTTGTTTAGAGAGTTGGACTTGGAGAAACATGTTTGTGATATTAATGGTGCTGGCATGAATATGACATTGCTCTTCCAGTTTATAAATCCAACCAAGAACAGGTGTTGTCTGAGTCCTCTCAACAACAGGAACAAGCTAAGGTACCATGGAAATGCTGATGCACTGGAAAAGTGTTGCATGCCACAGTTGGAGCATATTATTTTGGAGAGGCTGATCTAACGGCTGTCAGCGTTCATCTTTACACTCAATGTGGTGTCAAAGGCATGAATGTGAGCTGTGCCATCTTCATCCCAAGCAGTCACACAGAGGCTGTCTTAACAAAGCTTGACATCTCTGCAGGGCTTTCAAAGTTCAGGCAGTTCTACAGTTATATTCTAAGCATACCTTTTCATGGAAATGAATGAAAAACAGGGCTATTTATGGAGCCTTTTTCCACATTTAACCTCTTCCCCTACAGCGAGATTGCTGCAAGTACTTCAGGCTATCTTTCCACATCATTTAGCGTCTAATTAGTGTGTTTGCATGGCCAGTCCAAAAGTCTATCTGTCTTGAGTTTAGCTCAACAAGAGGCTAGAGTGTGCACTAGGGATGTTACGACTCACGATACTGGGTTCACGACACGATTCTCTCACGATTTATTTTACAAAATGAGACTGAAGACAAATTATGAGATGACTGAAAAAGATTCTTCTAATTTTTTTCATGAAAACACTAATGCACCTCGTAATCTCTTTGGCTCTTGCACTCGTTTGGGCGAGCGGGGCTGCAAACCCGCTTGTTAGTGTGGTTTGGCGCCTGCTTGTTACAATCAACCACCTCTGCTCTACAGCTGCTGACGCTCACCATATTACTGCAATCTACTGATACTGATTAAATCATTTCAGTCATTTTTTTAATACCTGAAAATGCTGCTGTTGAGTTATTTGAGTTGTTAACAACACGCTGCTGAAACTGAATAACGTTGTTAATTGCAAAGATTGTCAATACAGGGATATATTTGACTGTTAAGACATTAGAGTAAGAGAAAATGAAACACTGCATATAACATGAAGATGTTGCCATTGCTTACAGGAAACGGCCCTGACAGACTGGCCCATAGCTGCAGACTTCATGCTTCTCTATTGTATAAGTTTCACTGATCATTGCATCCACATTTAGTGGACAAGAAATATTAAAATGAGTGACAGAAATTATTTGTGATAACACCAACCTGTTTCCTATCTGGTCATGAACTCCTTCTCCCAATCAAAAGTAACTAGCTTCATCGGAAAGAAGACCAGCATTGTTGTCTCCCTTCCTATCACTGTCTCTCTTGCATGTATAATATTGTTAAGGTAACTATTATTTATTATTTCTTTGTCAGTTTAATACAGGACACATTATGTTCCAAAAGATATTTAGCACATGCGTGTATGGAGGCTAATGAAATCCCATTGACCAACAGCCGAAATTTCAAAACTGAAGTCAGTTGCTTGAATATTTTCTTTGGAAACTATTTATTTATTACGGTACATACAAGCAGACCACCTTCTTTGTTCTGTATTCATTTTTTCTTGTGTTATTTTTTGCTCTGCTCTGGGTGGCCCGTCCTGGTTACGGTGGCTCGTTGTTCATCCAAGACTGTGAGTAACAATCCGTGTTAAGGTTAACCCAAATTGGGTTCACCGGGCTTGAAATGACAGTTTCCGACAGCAAAATTTTTTTTAAAAACCAAATTTAGAAACTCAGCAAGTGATGTTGTTGAAGTCTCTGTTATGGAATCTGCTAATAAGCCCTGGATGAACTACAGGCATGATGTGGATGCTACGTGAGAAACTGTGGAAAGCAGCCCACCTTGCCAACCGACGTCACACCATACCACCTACACGCTCAAGTTTCCCCAAGTTTGAAAGTTTGCAATTATTTGTTTTTACTGTAAACCACATTAAATTGCAATTCCCACTAAAACCTTCCACTGGGACTGGGGTTGCATAAGTTGCTCTGAGTTTTGTGAAAGACGGGTGTAGATGCTATTTAACATGTTGAGACCAAAGTACGGAAGAGTTTTACAAAATGATTCATTTCACTTTCACATCAATGCATGCTTTTTTGTTGAATACGTTATACACAGGTAATCCACAGTGTAGATTAAACAACACACAATCAATGATGCCAAGCACAGTAAGCGTCAAAATGCTTTTTGATGAGAAAACAAAAAAATGTTGGTTACAAAGCTTAACGTTATTAAAAGATAAAGGTTTGTTATTATTATTGAATAATTTGTTGTTTTTTGCCTTATTCTTTGAAAGCTGTTGACTTATATGACTATTAGTATTTTTTTTTTAGAAAAAATGTCCTTTCTACTTTTTTCATTTGCAATGTATTTGAAACTTTGCACAAACCAAATGCCTGGAATTTTGGTGACAACATAGAGGGAGCCATGATTATTTGTAACTCTGCTGTGGTTGTATTTCCTCAACCAATGAATGATTTTCTAATCTGAAATTAATAGCCAACACAACTGGTCGCCTCTAAAGTATGGACTTGATTTCATAAGAACATGACCTTAATTAGGAATCTCCACATCTACAGTAGTCTTCATCATTCAGTGAAAAAGAAAATCTGAATAATAACAATCTACTTCAGTTGAAAGAAAATATCTCTGGGGCGCGCTGGTGGCGCAATGGTTAGGGCGTGCGTCCCATGTGTTGAGACCCTCATCTCGAGCAGTAGGCCCAGGTTTGCTTCCACCCGTGGCCCCTTTCCGCATGTCGTTCCCCGCTCTCTCTCCCTGGTTTCCGACTCTATCCACTGTCCTCTCTCTGCATTAAAGGCACGAAAAGCCCAAAATAAATCTTTTTATTTTTTTAACATTACCTTTCCATTTATATTCTGTGTGTGCTTATGTTGTTTGTTCCTTATTTTAACTTTGAGGCTCCTGAGGAACATCGTGTTGATTTTGGTAGCAATGTCTTCTGACAAAAAAGTCTCATCCTTCCTTCTCTTAACTGTCAAATCGAGAGACATTGGTGTTGAAAATGTAAAAAAAGGCTGCTTCTGCTGCACACTTTTAATCACATTGTCTGACACCGCGGCAGCAGGTATTAAAATATTTTGAAGAAACAATCAGTCTTCTTGCTTATGGTCTCGTTTGCCTTATTAGGTCATGAGGAGTTATCATTATTAATTTGATAATATTAATAAATAATTAATAAATGAACAAATCATAGCATTACTCAAATATGAAATAATGCAATTTAATATTTAAGTAAAACATAAAGTTATAAAGAGAACTGTAAAACACTGCAAGAACACTCCCTTTTCCTGAAAAAAGTCAGACAACATATATATTGGCCTCCAATGACCATTCATCCATCATTTTCTTCAAAGGCAATTGAAGTGCTCATTCTTCAGTACGTTAAGCATTCCTATTTGATTTTAATATTCTTGTATATTTTTCCATCTCTGTCTTAACCTCTATAAGCATTAGAAACTGTTCAGTTTAGGATCATTTTCATTAAAGAGGACATATTATCCCCATTTTCCACCTTTTCAAACAGTCCCCTGTGGTCTAAATTAAACGTCTGTGCTGTGCTTTGGTAAAAATGTAACATGAATCAAGCACCAGAGGAGGTTTGTGACTCCGTATAAACCAGCTCTCTCAGAACGCTCCGTTTTGGTGTGTGTGTCTCTTTAAATGCAATGAGCCCTCTTTTCCAGGTAGACATCACTCCTCTATAGTGAGAATAAAAATGGTGGAACTGCACAAAAGTTTTGCTCTGAAGAATCCCACTGTGATGTCACAAATGGAAAACATTTAAGAAAATAAATCAAATCTCAGCTGTTGCAAAAAGTCTTCCTTTAAGTGTCTCATCTTCCTTTTCTGTTGTTTCCTTCCCAGGACAGCCGATACACCGTATTACTCATCATCAACTCCTCCATCAGCCTGTCCACTGGGTGTCTCCTGGCCCTTATTATAGCTTTCCATTATAAAGACATCAGGGTGAGTGTGTTCGCCTTTTCTCTTTGTTCCAACAATATGGCCGTTGTTATTGTGATGTGAGAGTTTGTGTGTTTGTGTTGATTCTAAGCGTCTGGCTCGCCATATTCAGTGCATGTCTATTTTAAAACAATATTGTTTGTTTTTGATTTAGCTTGTTTAAAGTGATACCTTGTTGGAGATACTTGAGGGCAGTCTTTTAAGATGAAGCTCTCGGTCCACTGATGGTAGCCTTAACACTGATAATCTCTGTTATATTTGCTGTCTACATAAAGAAAAAGAAACTTGGACAAAAAGCTCAGCCCACACAAGCATGAACAATGTTTAAGCTTCTATATTTTTCCAAACCACATGGCTCGCTGCCGCTGTTTGGTAATTTAATATACATGAAAAGGTTTGGATGAAATTAAACAGAGTAAACACTCTTTTATTTGCCCACACACAGCATGCATATTCAATAGAGCACCAGATGGACAACAAATATGCTGAGGTACTTTTTGGGACTCAAACCATCTTTGTCTGTTTTCAGTCGAGCTGCCAGGTTTATACTCTCACACACAATGTTTTCAGTTTGGTTGCAAGTCACGGGTGTCTGATACAAGTGGGGTCCATGCAAGTGTGAAGGGGAGATAAGGTTTTAAGGGTGGAGACCGAAAAACAAGCACTGATGCAGCTTTCATTATTTGAAGTGAGACTTACTTCTTTTAGCCAGGTAGACTGAAATGCATCAAATCATTGGATCAAATAAGAGAAGGAAAAATCTGAGAATATGGTCTTGTTTAATTTAGATAATGGTGGTCTCCTACCTTTCAGGCTTAAAAAGCATTTGTCTTTTCAAAGGCTCTTACAAACATGGTGTTCTCTAGAGAACTATATGTTTGCAATTTTTTTTAACCTTTTTTTCTGTTTTTGCTTGAGATCAAAAACATCTACACACTTACTGTACAGCCAAATCCAATATACCTCGTGATAGTATTTGTTAGATACTGTGAAAACATTATCAGAGGGTAAGCACATAAACAGGTGTAAGAAAATAGACAGCCCCAAAGCTGTAATGATGTCATCAATGGCAAAATAAGAAATTACATTGGAGCGCTCTTAATCCACTCTTTGTATCTTTTATAGATAATTTAATGAAAGGGGATTTCTCCTTTTAACAGAAAATTGTTCATATAAAGATTTGACTGTATTTTTACTTGTGTCTTCCTCAATTAGCACAGTTATCATGTGTTTTTCTTCCCACACTCTCTGTTTCTGTCCTCTGTTCTCCAGCTGTTTGTCATTGATCATAACCAAGTGGACTGGCGTATTGCCATGACCAGCCACAGGATTCTTGCGATCTCTCTGGAGATGTTGGTCTGTGTCATCCATCCTGTCGGCTCATACCGGGAGATCGGACATAATGTCACCTCCTCTTCCCCAGCTCCGCTGTGTGTTTCCAACCAGCCTGTAGTGCTCACGATGGACATCGACCTGCTTTTATCAGTGCTGATGTTCCTGCGCTTGTACCTGGTGCACAGAGCCATCCTGCTGCACAGCAAAGTGCTGCTGAGCGCCTCCTACAGGAGCATCGGCTCCCTCAACAACATCAACTTCACCTTCCGCTTTGTTCTCAAGGTACTGCTGAATGAATACCCTGCACGCACGCTGCTGGTGTTCATCCTCTTCTTCTGGCTCACTGCGTCCTGGATGCTTACTCTCTGTGAGAGGTAGGAGAGACAACTGCATGACGTATCATCAATTCAAACAGACTGATTCTGAAACTGTCACAAGAACGAGCCATAGTACTAGCAAAATGGATGTGCAGTGTGTCTTCTGTGCATACTACGATTATAACATGATATTTAAAAACTCAAAGCCCACTTAGAGAGCATGACTTTCACCAAAGCCAAAGAAATTCCAAAAGTATTCTTCTCTCACCTGTCCGGGTATAATCTTTGCGAGATGTGTTGCTAATTTTACGAAAGTTGTTCAGACTGAGCAAATAGACCTCTAACTCAACAAATACAAATAAAAGGCTTAGAGGAAAGCGTATAAGAATGCAAGATTTTGGCTTTCCACAAAACTATTCTGCCCTTTAGTTTTTAAACTAGAATTCCCCCAAATCCTTCATGAAACTGACGATTAACTGCTATCACTTTAATTAATAAGTGAATAAAGGACTTTCCTAAGCTATTTTTATTCCAAGGATAATCTTATAAGTAAAGAAAATCTGAGGTTTGTACGTCTATTTCACTGGAAGTCTCTGTCAGGATTTCAGTTTTAGACTTTTAAACCAAAAAGTGAAAATGGCTTATCAAATATTTCTGTCATGAAATTCTGAAATGTGATTTTCTTTCTTCTCATATTATACAATCAGCCAATGCTTAGAATTGTACCTATACCCACACTAATGAGTGATGTTTATGTGAGCATATTTAAACATCTTCTTTCACTGTAAAAGTATGCTTTTAAAACTTTCTTTCAAAGATGTCAACACAAGGACGTCTGCTATCTTCCTTCAACCCTGCACTCCCCGTCACACACATGCGTGTTAGGAACACAAGACGCTCGGTAGTTTCACATTCCTCCATCAATCTTGATGGTCAATTTGACTTTCCTGTTCAGAATGGGTTTGAAATAACTGATGTTATAATCATGATTTTCTCTTTAGTTACTCTAACAAATTGCCTCGTGACACCGGCCAACAAACTGTCAGCGTTCTCCTCTGCAGTGTGTTTGAACAGTATGATGTCATTTGTGCTTTTGGACTCTAATGGGAGGTATTTCCTTCACATGTCTCAGGCTTGTATGTTATTACTTGTCAAAGGTAATAAAAAAGGCTTTGACTGAAAGCTGATAAGACCAACACACTGTTCAACACTTAACTGTTATACACCCGCCTTTTTAAACATTAGTTCATTATCCAGAAGACTAATGAACACTTACATTGCCTTGGTCTCTGCTGCATGTCCTCAGGCTTTATAAGTTTACCCCAGAACTCCTGTACTATACTGCAGAGCATCATCACTGATAACACTGTTTGATAGACGACCACACCTTTATCAAATCCGGAAAAAGGATGTTCAATTTATTTGATCTAAGTCATAAAGTTCTGGAGTCTGCTGAATCATGGTGGATACACAACTGGATGAGTATTGAGTTAGAATTTATTCAATTCTGTATTTCAAAACATTTTTGAGAAAGAATGGGAACCAAAAAACATTAATGGATTGGAAAATGAAAGAATCATTTTGTACAATTCACATAACTTTTATTTCAAAGCTAGTTTAACCTAAAGACTCTTTAAGCGTAAGCCTAAGCTTAAACATGACCAAGTTGTGAAATGTGTCTCTCAGCAAACAGTCATGTATGGAATAGCAGTTTAAAATCAGGTATAGATCAATAAATGCGTCACTGTTGTGCTTTAAAGCTCCTGTAAGAAGTTCTTAGCTGGTTGTGAAACAGCCTGAATCAATATTGAGAACTCTTTATGAGTTACAAAAGAACAAACAACACCGTTAGCGACAAGATTGGTTATTTCTTTAATTTAAAGCCTGAAGCTGCTGCCAGGGGTTAGGTGTCAGACAGTATTAGCAAGGATTTATTGATGAGTGGAACATTTGATTGTCAAAAGAAAGTAGCATAAGAAAATTCAGAAAGGAGATAAGAGGTTGGTTATTGGTTATTGGTTATTGGTTATTTTGTCCATAAAGAGATTTTGGATGTTGGAAGACCTAGCAATTTATTAACCAATAATGTATTATATAGGTTACATGATTATATTGGAAAAATTGTTTCGCAAAATTCGACACAACTAACAAACCTAACAACTGTCAAAACTTTATCTCTGTTTTCTCCATGTTGGATTTAAATACCCGATGGAGAAATGTGACTACCGTGTTGTTTGAAATAGCATTGTTTAAATATAGCTTGGTTATGTATTAATAACTCCAAAACGGACCAAAATGGTCTGATTTTTTGAAGTTTGGTTTATAAATGATAGCCTAGCTATTGTTTATGTAAACACTGTTGTGTAGACATTTCCCAGCTGGTACAGTACATCTAATGTTGGACAGAGATTCAACTTTATTTGGAAATTAAAATCAGGTTCATGTTACAACACAACATTGGAAAGATGTTGGGTGTTAATAATCTAACAACACAAACACATTTTCCAAGTTGAGTTGAGATTAACATTATGACTTTTAGCTGACGTTTGGTTTTGGTTACAATACAGCAACAAGGTTTGTATTTGGATGACTAACTTAACAACACAACCTAAAACCAACAATTTATCAGCATGACCGGTGGGAAACGCAGGGTAACTCATGATATGATACGTGACCCATAATAATGATTATATCATGACACTTCTGTGATGATTGATATATATCAAGACAATCATATAATGATACATCACAATATCTGATTAACAGAAGAATATAAAATCCTTCTAAATAGGTCAAATGCACCACATTTGGTGTCAGTTTTGCCTCTTATCGTGTGTCATCCTCTAACTGTTTTCATTGCTGTCTAATATTATCCCTCGGTCAACTTCTTCTTTGGCCAATTAACTTCTGTTCAGATTGCTCTCGATCATGTCACAGAAGGAGGAGTCAGTATGTGGTATGCCAAATTGGCAGGGTTTTGTGTGTAGAGCAGCATGATTTTAATATAAATATCATTAATTGGCTCCAACTAAGTGATAATTGTATCACAGAAGTCAGGACGTTGATATATTGGGCTGTATTGATACATTCCCACCCTTAGTCAAGCTCAAGATGTTGTAAGTTATCTGCGTCAGATTGATGTTTACATTGGACATTGCCCTGAAATTAAGTTTTGGACACCTGCTGTTGCAACCTATATTCCACCAAATATCAACATCTAATATTATTGATGGCCAGACTTTGCCCATAATAACAATGGTATGCATTGTTCATGTTTTGTTCCAACACAGTCTCAGCTCTGTTTCTTTTCTTGCAGGGGGAACGAAGAGGTGACTGGCCACATGAACACAGCACTGTGGCTCATAGCCATCACCTTCCTCACAGTGGGCTATGGGGATGTGGCGCCCAAAAGCAGCTGTGGAAAGGCAGTTTGTCTCTTCACTGGAGTCATGGTAACGTTGGGTTGCTCGTTAGGAAAACACATTCAGAAAAGAATGGAAAATATCTAATCTTTGTTTTACTTTTTTATTTGTTTTTAACATAACGATCTGATATGTTTGTCTACACGGACCCTGACTCTGTTAAGACCCCCTGCATTGTTTCTGGGGGTCCATGTTCCTCCTACTTTTACGCCAAAGTTCAATAATCTCCAATTATTTTCATTTTCACTCCACTCCATTTCTCCCATATGGAAATAGTGATTTATTATTGCATTTTATTGCCATGTTCCTGCATTGTTTTTTGTTTGATATTGTTCCATAACATCCTCTCTGGTTTGTTTCATTCCCATCTGTTTCTGTTTCATTTCAGAAACTCTTCCCCCACCATTTTCCTATATTGTTTTCTCATTTCATATCGACTCAGTTCAGTTCAGCTCATGTCTCTCCTGTTATATTCCAGCCTGTTCTGCACTATTCCACTAGTTAACCTGAAAACTTTACACCCTCTTTGCCCGGCTGCGCACTCTGTACTGACCGACATGAATGCCTTCATTCCTTTTGTGTGTGATTTAGATCACAGCTGTTAAGAAAAATAGGACAGGGCTCCCTCCTGCAGCACCTTGGTTGTACCAGGCAGTCACATGAAAAGAGCCTAAGGGGAGGAGACTGTCGCTGTGCAGCCTGAGGGTTCACATTGTATTGCTGCACATTTTCTTTCTTGATACACCTCATGGAGATATCTTGGAGATCAAATTTAGCATATTTTACATCTCATAATTGATGAAAAAAATTGTTCTATAGTACAGTACAGGAGCAGATAAGAGCAATACAAGTTTGGTTTTCTCTTTTTTAGGACTAAAAAAATGTGGAAGGGAGGGTCTTGAAGATTAGGGAGATGGGGAAGTTATATTTGAGATAAAACATAAAGAGCTACAGTAGTGGAAGATAAACATTAAGCCACTGAAAAAGAGGAGTGGCAGTGATTGTTTAGAAAGGTTATAGACTTTGCTCTCTGGGGTCAAACTCTAATATGAGCATGTAAGAATCACCGGCGTGGTCCTGGATGAGGGTACCAACCTGGTTCAGACACCTCTGTTACAGAGTGGAAAACGACCTCTTTCCATCTCTCTTTCTCCATCTGCTGTGTTTTTATAAGCTCCCCCCCCCCCCCCTTATAAGGGAAAACTTTCCACCATATCCATTTTTAGGTGGTTTATTGCCTTTGGCACCAGTGCATCAGGAGGGTGTGCCAACCTGTGCCAGTGATTTGGAAAAAATAAAATTCCTACTCCCACCAGGGCAGCTCTAGTCTGGGAGCCGGTCTCTGGGGCTCTCACACCTGTAGTACGACCGCTCAGCACGTCCAGCCTTAACTCTATTCACAGCTGTGTTTAGGGGTTGACAACAAAGTTTGCATCCATGTGGATGGATCCATGGAAAGAGTTTGCACCTCCCAGGTTTCACAGACAGTGTAATGATAGATATTTAGCGGCTTTTAGAGTGTTAGATGAATACATCATTAAAAACTCTGCTTTGTGCTTTCTTATTCTGCTGCTTGATTGCTCTCTCTCCTTCTTTCTCTTTCTCTCTAACGCAAGCTGAAAGCAGGAGCACAGGTAAAGACTGGCTATCATTTTCCTTGTTGGACATAAAAACAGCGCAGATTTCTGTTTGTGTGTCCTATGACGTGTGTGTTATGTGTGGATGTGATTCACTATGCGTACTATTAAAATCTTTACCATCGTTTGGTGGTTTCGTGTCCAGCAATAGCGCAAAGCTAATTTTAAAGGAAAGGAGCTCCATAGTCATTTAAATATAACTTTGATTTATTAGACAGAGCCATATGAGGTATCAGAGTCAACATTTACTTTTCCCATGAGGGGTGAGACGAAGTTTAGGCTAAATCCAGTCTCTAAAAGTGAAAAGTCAGTTTCTCCTCAGTTCTGCCTTGTTGTGTTCCTACAGTTGTCAGGATTAAACTTCTATGCCTACAAGATTCAGAGAAATGTTTGGCAAGAGAGGCAGATGATTAATAAATCAGTAGCATGCCTCTCAATATGTCTGTGTATTGGTTTTAGGGTGTAGCCTGCACAGCCATGCTGGTGGCAGTGGTGAACAAGACGCTGGCGTTGAACAAAGGAGAGAAACACGTGCACTTCTTCATGCTGGACATCCAAATCTCTAAGAGGGTAAGAGCAAAATATGTTTAGTTTGTCATTAAAAGTAAATTGTTATGATATGGTTCACATTTTGTAACCACTAAAATATGTGGTTAAGAAAAACATTCCGACTCACCGAGTTATGATTGAATTTTTGCCTCAATTTTCTTAACAGAAATACGACTTAAAGATGTGCATACGTGAGCACTTTTGCTTTTTTTGATCCTTTACACCGATGAAAGACTTACCTTCAAAGACAATACCACAAATGTTTTCCAGTTTTTACCCTTTCATCACTTTTCATGCACACTTCACATCGCTGCTACCTCATCTTTAAACCGTACTGTGAAGTTTTTTGGGTTTTTTTTCAATTTTTGAGCGTACTTTCCCTTTCATTCATCACTCTGCAGAAACTTGAAACTTGTTTAAAATAGGTAATTTCATTTCAGTGGGTACTATTTCTGTGTTTATTGTTTTCAAAGTTACTGGATCATTGTGTGGTTATTCAGCTGCTCACCGAGTTATGATTGAATTTTTGCCTCAATTTCTTAACAGAAATACGACTTAAAGATGTGCATACGTGAGCACTTTTGCTTTTTTTGATCTTTGCACCGATGAAAGACTTACTTCAAGACAATACCACAAATGTTTTCCAGTTTTTACCCTTTCATCACTTTTCATGCACACTTCACATCGCTGCTACCTCATCTTTAAACCGTACTGTGAAGTTTTTTGGGTTTTTTTTCAATTTTTGAGCGTACTTTCCCTTTCATTCATCACTCTGCAGAAACTTGAAACTTGTTTAAAATAGGTAATTTCATTTCAGTGGGTACTATTTCTGTGTTTATTGTTTTCAAAGTTACTGGATCATTGTGTGGTTATTCAGCTGTAAGTGCAGACTGATTAGAAAAGTATGTGCTGCATTGCACAATATCAAAAAAAGAACTACCAAAACAAAACTTCAGTTTGCTCTGGAAAGTATTTTGCAGTTAGGCAGACTATGATAATTGAACTAAATGGGAGTGTGTGCTTAAGATGAAAGGAAAATTTGTGTCTTATAATGTAAGAATTAACACATTCATATTTCAGCTTAGGTCGTATTAATGACTCTTTACTTAAAAAAAGCATCTGATGTGTTGCATCAACTAATCCAAATGACATCACTGGCTTTTAAAGGCAGGGTTGGTAATTTTCGAAAAACTAGCATGATTTTGAAAGTAGCATTCCTTCAGTGCTGAGTCTACACCCACCCCCTCCCCTCTGTGCTCCCTCACAAGCCACGCTGTTTCTCCAGAAGCAGACCTCATCTGATCGTTTGCATTGTGTAGAAACTACGTCGTCTGATTGGTTTCTTAAAATTGGTACCTCGAGGCAGACATTGGTCAAAGTTTTTACAGACTTACAAACTGCTACAGAGGACAGATTTTCTTCGTTCCTTTTCAGAGCTCAAGAATGAATAATTTCTTTCAGGACCTAAAGACAATTTCAACCAAAATCTTAATTTTCTTTTACCAACCCTGCATTTAATTCAAATGTCCAATATAATAGGTGTAACTAAAATGAGGGGATCTTATTTTGCAGTATTTTTGAGCGAATATTTATCTATGAATCAACTTCCGGAGATAAAGACTTGATAAACAGTCAACTTCCCGCCCTTCTTTCAGAGGTTACCGACCTGCATCCAGCCCAATAAGAGAAACCCTGAAGCGGATGGAGTGCTCAGGATGGAAGCGTCTCTATTTTCCGTGTTGTATATGTGTGTTTTGGTTTTTGAGTCTTAATATAATTTGTTTCTTTCCTTAAATAAGAGACACCAGAGGATGTGACAGTGTGGGAAAAGAGAAGGGACCTTTTTATAGCATTCTCAAGGTGTCAACCAGAGGAAATCATCTGAACTCTGTCAGGAAAGAAAACGTGTGTTAGTCCAGGACGGTGCAGCGGTGAGGCAGGAAATCGGTGTGTTTGTTTTTGTGGAAGGGACTTACAGAGGAGTAACTCTGTTTGCAGGCTTGGATAGGATTCAAGCAGGAGGTGTCTGATAATCACAAACTTACAAGGAAACAATGTCAGAGGGCCGAATGAGTTTCTTAAGAATATACTGTACCTTAAAGTGTAATGATTGATAGAGGTCATTCAGCTTTAGTTTCAGTTTGTGCTTTTAATACAGCTTCTCATCCAACCGTAAAGCTGTGTGTGACGCCAGTAGTTGCACTGCTTTGGAGGATACAACAATTTCCTTTCTGCTCTTGGCTGCATCCTGTCACAAGGTGCATCTTTATGCCTTTGCTGGTGGTGTGGTGTGTGTTTTTGTGCGTGTGCATGAATTCTTCTGTCCATATTTACTCTGATGGGAACAGGGGAAGACATCTGGATGCCGACACTGAAAAGCCTCTATTAATAACTCACACAACAGCGCTAGCGTGACATCATCACAGGGCTGCGACAGTGATTTGTGCAGGAAGTCAAACAGACATGAATGGGATCAAAGAGAAAAATGTGCACAAAGGTGATCGAGGAGAAATGCTGCCTCGGTTGTTGTCTTCAAGGCTTGTTCTTCAAATTCTCCTACAAATCCATTTTCTATTAACAAGACCTCTGTTGTTTCATTTATCTGAAATCCTCAAATGTTTGAACAGGAAAGACTATGTTGATCGTTTCATCGTGCATCGTTTCCTTGAAATGACTGTTGTGAACCAGATTCTGTAGGAAAACTTAAAAATTAATTCTGCGTGTTTTTGTCAGTTAAAAATGCATTTTTTTTAACTAATCTTGAATGCCGTATCCCCATGGTCTGATCAATCCATTTGTAATGTTACTTTTTCTTCACCAGATCCGCCACGCTGCTGCTAATGTGCTAAGGGAATGCTGGCTTCTGCACCGCGCAAACCTAGCAAAAGGCAACCGTGGGGAACATCGAAGACACCAAAGAGGCCTGCTGGAGGCCATCAGGGTGTAAGTTACTGTTACCCAAAATGACACCGTCATGCGGGACACGCGTGTGTGTAATCCTCCCTCACTCCCCAAATTCTGACTCTATCCATTGCCCTATCTCTAAATGAAGGCATAAAAAGCCCCAAAATAAGCCTTTACAAAGAATCCAGGCAATGTTAATATGACATGTCATCTCCGCTCCTGTGAGGATTTTTAGGTTTGTGTTTATTTTGGTACCCCCTGTGGACAAAGTGGTATACTGTATCTGATCTCTTTAGTTGTCTTGTTTGAACTGTAGGTTGTGTTTTTGAACAGAAAATGTCTTCCTGTTTTCGTTAACAGTCAAATGTTTCCCTCATCAAGTACCTTGTAAAAAGAAGGCCGTTTCTTCAAAGTGCTACAAAAACAAGGCTCTATAGAAATATTCATTTTATGTGACATTGAGGCATCTATATTAATTTCAGTGTTTCATAACCACTTTAAAAAACACAGAAGCTTCAAATTCCTTTCTTTTGTTTAACTACAACGGTATAGTGTGAGAGGTGCACAGCATATTGTACAAACTCTTTTAAGAGCCTTTAAAAAATACCTGCTGTTGAGTTGTGCCTCTGTTTTATTGTGCCCAAAGCTGCTCCTCTAAGAACAAGTAGTTTGCACAAGACAGGAAGTCCAGAAGTGTGACTGAATGGTTCATTATCCTGACAACAGGATCGTGTGTTTGTGTGTGACTTATCCTCGGTGGAAGGGTTGTACTTCCTGCTTTACACCGGGCACAACCACTATAAATAAACACACTGCGGAAAAGATGAGGAGGAACGTCCACACTTTGGGACTAAGACAATTACATGGGACCATCCTTTTTTTTACATCTTCATTTTAGAGAGTGGTAGCCTTATTTATTTTTATTTTACATTGGTTTCCATGTGCCTCTGTTGTAGTGCTCTTCTTGGAGCATTTAAACCCTGAGTTTAACACAATTTAACATCTTACTGTCTTTTTTAAACAAAGAAAAGGTCTCGCAAAGTGTCTCTGTGTAACATTCAGGGGAAAAGTAATCAAAATGTACGTTTGTTATGAATAATTTCCACATGACTTATTTTGACCATATTTTTTGAATCTACTTCCAGATTTCGGAATTTACGCCTCAAACAACGAAAATTAAGAGATTACGTCAGTGAGATGGTCGATCTCCCAAAGGTAAAATGAAAGCTAGACAACAGTGGAATATCTATTATAGCTATAAGATAATAATAATTACTTCCAAAAAACACTCACTCAGAATGTGTTAGTGCAAGATGCTCTGACACTAGACACTGAAGCTACTTTAAAAAGCTCCATAACAGATCTCTGTATAGTTTTGTGTAAGGAATCTATAGGCCAAAAAAATATTGCCAGGCGGAATAATACCTTAGAGGCATTAATGTATATATACTGTATATTTTTTTAATGTTTTTTCCTGATTGATTTATGTTATAATAAGTCTGTATTTTTCCAGACCCTTTGTACCATGTCAAAAGTAAACAATACCATGATCCTGTGTATTCATGTGTTCATCTTCGGGCTTATAACCGTCTTGATTGGTTGTGTTTGTTAACTTAAGTTGCTTGAGCTGCCAAAAAATGGAACTAATTCACTTTTTGAGTTGGAGATAATGAGGTGGTTTTCTGAGTCTGTCCCAATCAGTTGTCTTGAAACTGGCACATATCCACAATAAAACAGTCCGTCAGTCAGTCAGAAACAGATTTTACTAAATCTTTCCTATGAGTCTGCAGCACATATTTCAAAAGTGTCTGCAGTTATTCCAGTAACAACTGACAGGTTCATATTTATGTTTGAACCTTCCAGTGTTTTCCCTTGGTGATACAGAAATCCACCATCTGTATTGTGTGTCGGATTCCAACAGATGCAGATGATCATGTGCGACCTCAGTGCCAATTGGAATAACTCTTATCGGGAGCTGGAGCAGCGGATCCTCTCCATGGAGCAGAAGCTGGACGAGCTGAGTCGCTGCTTCCAACAAACATCGGAGCTGCTGTTTCATGTCCTACGTCACCGCAACCCCGATATAAGGTAAATAACCAGGCTTACAACACAGAGTGGGATGTGGTCTTGAGCTACTAAAAAAACGTTTTTGTTTTTTTTGATTTTTTTTGCAGGTGACATGACTTCATACATGTATTACAGAGACAAATACATGTCTTTTGGTGTTTTAATCTACAGTATCTATAAAGGGAGAATGCAAATGCTCTCCACCAGGCGCTGCTCAAGACTGTTAACATGCTGAACCACTTGGAGGACTGGCATACCCACTAAAGACCTCATCTTCTGGCCCAGTGCTCACTGCACTGCACAATGACTCATAGCTGTAAAACTATACAGACAAAATAAGCCCTCCAGTCGTCTTCTCGGTGGGAGAATCACAATGCATCTTGTTATATTTGTGAGAGGATAAAGAAGTGAATAAATCTCAAACCAGGACTGTGGAAAGTCACTAGTCTTATTTTCAATGTTAGTGAAAGGTTTCATTGATGGATTCCTTCACTGCCTTATTCCTATGGAATAAGATGAACATTTTTACATGTTTATTTTATTTGAAACTTTTTGTAATATTCTACAGTTCTAGTCTTATCTTTCTTTTTAAAAAGCTCTCATAAATCTTGATAACCCAGATGTTTGCAAACAGGATTTCTGATTATTACATCATTTCCAATAACTCCTCATTGTACTGCTTTAACTTTAACCCGTAAATTGAATTATGCATGGAATTGTGTCTTGATGCTCTGCAAAAAGAAGAAAACAAAGTTCGATTGGAGTATTGTCAATGAAAGCTTTATTTCATCATAAGAGTCCTTGGGTTTGTATGGCATGTCAACATAAACGCATGTATATTTCAGTATATCATCGAACAGTTTACACCTGTTCTGAGAGCAAACTTGAGTGCAAGATGTCTGGTAAACACGTCCTTCCTTAACTCTACAGCTCCATCTAGTGGACATACATTAAGTTAATCATTTTAAGGACAGCTCAAATTAAATTCCTAAAGTTGAACTACCATAAAAAAAGGAGTACATCAAACAAACAAAACCTTAAAACTCACAAACAAACTGCACTGTGATTAAAGCACTTTGTGAGGGATCAAAAGTGTGGAAAACTGGACTCACTCTTCTCTGGAGGATAAACTGGAGCTTTTTGTGAAAAATATGAAATATTCATGTATGTTGTCAAAACAGGAACATGTGTTGACCTTGTTTGCTCTGTATTATTTGCACGTTGTAGAAAAAAAAAAAAAAAATTTGACATGACAATAACTATCTTGGAGATGCGTATAATTAAAAGCCATTAAAACAAATGTGCGATTGATTTTGTCTTTCCAAAAGTAAAACAACTGCATAACAAGTGTGGGGACTCTGATTTTACTTGAAGCCTTGATCTTAAGTGTGTCGCACAAAGCGAGAAAGGAGTATCTACAAGCATGAGAAAACCGGAGATGTGTTTGTCATTTCAAGCGCTTCTTCAAACATTTTGTTTTGTTCCCGTTTTTAAGTTGGTGCCATATGTAAGCAGAAGGCCTAAAAAAGTGCTGTCCACAGTCACATGTAAAGGGCATTCTGCACTTTTTCCTCACTTTACGTCTCTGTGTAGGTTCAGAGTGGGATTTTTTCCTGGACTTGCCCTCTATGTGCTCAGCTAAAACTGTTGCTCCGGTAAAAGTCTCCCCGCAGCTGACACAGATGTAACTCATGTTTTCTGCATGCTGAACACAATGCCGCAGGAGGTGCAGACGGTGCTTGAAGGCTCTGCCGCACTGGCACCGGTGTGAGCGACGGCCTCGGTGGAGGTAGCGATGACTGATGACGAGGGAGGGCTGCCGAAAGATGGCGCCACACTGCCTGCAAGGGTAAGGGGTTTTTGAGCGCCAGCCTGTGTTCATGCGTTTCATTAAGGCCACATCCTGGCTGTCATTCTCAAACATGGCTAAAATAGTGGGCATTTGTGGAGAGTCTCGTACGGAGGCTGTAGTAGCTGGAGTTGTGTCAGGTGGGAGGGCTGTAGGAGGCTGAACAGATCGGCCTGGGGGGACAGAGGAGGTCGAGAGAGAGGAAGAGCTTGAAGCACAGGCCTGGGTGTCACAAAACTTTCCATTAACAACCTGGTTGGATGCTTCTGGAGGCCTGCTGGCTGACTGGCCTGCTTTATCTGTCAGTGCAGATGGATTGGTAATAATACACACTTTGGTGCTCACCACTGACGTGTGAACCTTGTTAACGTGGTTTAGCAAAGTTTTCTCAGAGGCGTAAAAAGATTTGCATATGTTACAGCATTGCGGCATCGACTCAGAACAAAAGAGGACCAAAGGGGATTTGCTCTTTTTGGGACACGGGTGCTGATAGTATAAGTTCTCATGAGAGAAAACTTGACCACAAATGTGGCAGGAATACAAAGACATGTAATGTTCATTAAGCTGCGTCTCCGTCATAAAGAGCTCTTTGCATAGGAAACACTGATATTTTACTCTTACACCACTGCAGTGCAGTAAATGGAGCTTGAGAGACCGAAAGGGGCCTCTGCCACAGGTTGCACAGACTGAGTTCTTATTGGTAGGATGGATAGCAGGCGGGGGTTTGAATTGTGGACTATAAGAGGAGTCACTTGAATCATCAGTTGAACTTGAGCCACCGTCTAACTCAGGATCAACTGGACACAAGCCGGCAGGTTTAGAGGGTTTCTTATTTTTACCATCCCATCCTGAAACACGTGCCTTCTCACAATAATTATTCATGTCCAGATCATTATCATCTTCACCCACTATATACTCCACACTGTTTCCAGACATCTCAGGCTTCATCTCGATTCTTTGTCGAGGTCTCATCTCGAACATGGAGTCATGAAGGGCTAATTCTGTGCTTCGCAGAGTCACTGTTCTGATACTTGTTTGCAGAAATCAAATAGTAAGCGTTTTGAAACTGCCTCGAGTCCATGCAATCGGCCTCTGCATGCTTGTTCAGGTCCCACACGTTACTGAAAGACTGCTGGCTCTTTTTGCAGAGGAAGGGGACGAGTGTGCATTGTTCAGGGGTGTGGAGAGTGACATCAGGCGTTGGAAAGTACCCAGGTGGCTTCAATCTTGTGTTTTTTCTAGTGTGACATCAAGCTTATTCTTTTGTCTGCAAATAAAAACAAGAAGGACAGAAAAATTTCACAAATGTTTAGAAATACATCAACTTCACAGATTGTATAAAGCAATATGACATCAGCCCTAGAGGTGGGAGAAAAAAACGATACAACATAGTATCGTGATATTTTGTGTGGCGATATATCGCCTCATGGCGGCAAAGTATCAATATTTTTAACGTGAAGGGGTTGCACAATTCATTATGAACAAGTTGCCTTGTTAAGAATTAATGTTCAAGTTCAATTAGACTGAAATACTAACAGTTCAGATTGTGAGGTGCATGCAGCCTCTTACAGAGTTTTAATATCTTCACAGTGTTGGTCAGTCTGTGGGCTTGACTCACATTATGTAGAAATAAAAAGACTGAAGTGAGATGAATAGACTGAGATTTATTTCTTATTTGACAAAACAAGCAATTCTCAGCATATTGCAAAATGTGGAAAATCGCAATAGAATCGTATCGTGTCTCAAATATTGCGTTAACATTGTATCGTGGGGACTCGTGGTGATTCTCACCCCTTATCAGCAGATCCCATTTTTTAAACTTCAATTTGTTATTTAAAAAGGTTGGTGCATTGTTACATAGTTTCTAAACCGAGCATGACAATCATGTGCTGCAGAAAAAGGTTGCAACTTTTGCTTATATCAAGATTCTTAAGATACAGATATAACTATACTCCTTAATGTATGTTATCTATAAATACATTTTTGACTTTGAAAATCAGCAATAGACATTCATGTCCCCCTCAGGATGAATTGCCCAACAAGGGGTACTTTTGTCCCAGGGTTACTTCTGCAGTTGTAAGAAATGGGTGGAAAGATTGTGAAGTAGCTCAACTAATTACAAAAAATAGAAATTCTGACCTTAAGGGACATCGTGTACCCTTATAATAAATCACCTATTACAACACAATTTCAAACATTACCTTCATGATTACCTGAAAACTAGTAAACAAGTGAACACAGAAGTCTAAACAGGTACAATCAAATTCACATGACACAGGCTTTCCAAACTTTTAGGTAAGGTGAGAGCCCACTGCCAGTAGCTTACTTCCCCCTTTTGTTAAGTGCTATATTATAAATTGAAGTATTTATCTTGTAAAAAGACTAAAGGGACAGACAGGCCAAATAGTAAATTGAATTAACACGTTTTTATTCCAGTCAAACTAACTGTAGCTTCATATTAAGATGAGAAGACACATTGTTCCTTATTTTTTAATTGCATATTCACTTTTTGAAGTGAAGGAATATCACTAAACACTAGACCGAGTGTTTAAGGCTTGTGGCAGAAGTAATACACATCATTTAACCAACATTAAGAAGATGAACTTACCTCTGTCCACAAATACATGACCGGAGAACTGCTGCCTGCCAAAATCATTTCCTACCTTCACATTAGAAGATGACGGTTCAAGTCAGAAACTGTGCGTTATGTCAACAAACATACAGATATCGTTTAGCTTAATACATTTGTTGTTCTGACAAATAACCCCGACTCGTAAAGGTCACGAGAATGTGGAAACGACTGACTAAAAAAAGGGGGAAAATCCTTCAAGTTTCACATTTTAGGATGTTATCATGGTAATGATGGCGTCCACACTGCGAGCAGCTCGATATCCGTTTTTCACCGGAAAAGAGTCGCCTACATCTCCCAGAATGCACCACAGTCCCTCGCTCATCGTCCGTGTACAATGGTCGTTTAACAACGCACAAATGGTTTAATATATTTCAACGAAACACATAAACTGCCAGGCCTCAAGAATAAGCTAAATTTGAGCATATTAGAATTGTATTTTTGTTTTGTGGAAATCTTTGACTTGCTTAGAAAATGTCTCGGTTTTAAATGTTCAACATGCCGTCGCGGAACTCATCTTTTCATACTGATGTTTCTTAACGACTTCATTTTCAATACACACGAGGTGCGTTCGATGTGTTACACACTTGCAGTGTAGACGGGCGGTATTTATCCAGTACGTTGATATCCGACACGGTCGTACTGAAACGGGATACGCCTGAACATAAACAACCAGGCGGAACAGCGGAACGCGTTAGCCAACATTATCCACCGACTTGTTCTTCATGTTGGATGTTCAGCTGTCATAACTTTACGTTAAACTTCAATTACGTTTTTGGCGACAAACTTGCGAGCGAATATTTCTTGTCTCATTAATTAAGAGTAACTTTATCCTGAGCCTGCCTGTGCGAGGACTGGCTTTCAATTGTTAGCTAGCACTCTGTTGACATCAGCCCAGTTGTTTTAGTGAATCAAGTAAGAAGCGAACATGTCCGAGTCCGGCCACAGTCAGCCCGGGATGTACGGGCAGGGACGGCGGAGGAGAAGGCGCCGAGGGGACCGAGATGCTGGACCTCCGGGGCAAAATCTGTCCGGTCCAAGCCGGGATAGAGAATACCAACCAAGAGAACGAAGAGTAATAAAAACAACATGTGTAAATGAAGTGTGGGTTGCTTTGCTTTTTTTTCTTTTTTCTTTTTTACAGTAATGGCTCACTTTTTATTTCTGTCTTTAGGATGGGAGCGAGGATCCACCAGGCCCAATCATTCAGAAGACCCCCATCATTCTTGCCAAACCCCCTGGGGAAAGGGTATCTTACCTGTTCAGTTATTGTAAATCTCTTCATTGGAGAAAAGCATATTTAACGCATCATGATATATGCTGTTATCACTACTATTCACAAAGTATGTGTTGGTGTCTTAAACTCATCTACTTGCATCATGTTGGTGGTGCTGTTTGTGGAGTTCATGTGTTTCTTGCAGTATTTGCACACTGTTTTTTGTCTTGGCTGTTTTTTTTGCCCTACACTCCCACTTAACAAAAGGCTTCTAAACATCAAAATCTGGGAGGTATTGTTTCATCCCTGAAACATGCATGAATAATTACAGAACGATTGGATTTGTTGACATATTTACAATGCTCAAACAAATGAGTTGCGATTAGGAGGGGATTTAGAAAGTACCCTTCACATTTTGTGATCTCCCAGATCTCAGCTTTGGTTTCTTTTGACCTGTTCTGTTTTTGGATCCTTTTAAAGGCCAAACCATCACAGAACACACCTGTCAGTGGAGCTCCGGTCATAGAGAAGCCCATCATGCTAATGAAGGCCAGGGATGATGCCGGGAAGCCGGGTACCCCTCCTGAAACGATGGCTCAGCCCTCTGGTCCTGGACCCTCCAAGATGGAGAAGGAAGGGCAGCGACCCACGCAGCCTGTGTACCAGATCCAAAACAGAGGAATGGGGGCATCTGCATCTGGCTGCACTGTGGATCGTGAGTTGATGTAGATTGTAGATAGACAAAATGTTTTTTTTCTTCTTCTGCTGTACATGTCTTTTACAACGATGCTGAGTAATACTCTACTTGGCTGTTTTGTTAAGACCAAATTACATTCGGGGAAAAAGAAAAGTTGCTCTTGAACCTTCTTATTTGACTTCCAGCCATGGTTGGTCAGTCTAAACTCGTCCCACCAGAAAAAATGAAGCACAGCATCAAGCTGGTGGATGATCAGATGAACTGGTGTGACAGTGCCATGGAGGTGAGTTGATTTAGATTGAATTCAGTTAATTTTAGAGCCCTTATATTGTGACCTTATAACAATTTTAAATACTGTACTGTATCAACTCCATCTTGATCGACATCTGCATGTAAACAACATTTATATTTTACTGTGATGTGTTTCAGTATCTGCGAGACCAAACAGATATGTTGGTAGTTGGAGTCATTGGCCTGCAGGGGACTGGGAAATCCACAGTCATGTCACTGTTATCTGCAAACACTCCTGAGGAAGATCAAAGGTAAGGTTGGTTAGAACAGTGGTTCCTAAAGTGGGGGTCATGAGACACTGAGAGGGGGGTCATGAGATGCCTTCCATAACCAAATAAAAAATTGTAATGCTTTTTAATAGCATATTTTACCCATTACTGTGAAAATACATATAAAAAGAGTGGTGGAATTTAAAATGCAACTATAGTCGTTAAGTATAAGATACATGCTGATATGAAAGTGATATCAATTTAAGTTTGCATATAACTGCAACAATGTAGGTGTCTGTTGCTTCCTTCAAATGAAAATATGCACACATCACCTGTGTGTCTGTTTATTCAATTATCCACTCAGTCCTACATTATGCATACTTGTACAGGATAGGATCAGCAAAGAGATCAGATGTATGTATAAAGAAATGCTCAGGTACTTGAACCATACTTGTCTTTCTTTTCATCTTGCTTAGTTGCAATAAAAGCATTTTGCCCACGCATCACATGCTTCCCCATTTCAAAATGAAACAACAAAAGCACTTGCGACCAAATGATGCTCTCTTCATAAATACTTTTATCTCTCCCATCTATCCTTTTTATTTGAAAGCTACACTTTTAAGTGATGGTACTGTTTTAGCACACATGGGGGCAATGTTGTACCACCATCTGCCTCTGTGGAGTCAAATTGTTTCAGTTAGATTGTGAATGATTGTATTTAAAAGTTTCTAACATATATTGTTTGAATTCAGTTTGTTGTGTGCTGTTGTACAATGTTGACACACAAAAATTAAAACCCAAAATTAATAAAACAATGTTATTCAGGGCTTGTCATCGTCACCCAGCGCGAGACTGAAAGACTCTGAGCCAGCTGATTTTATGTTCCACTTGTCTGCTCAGGCCAGTTTAAATACTGCTTTAAAAATTATAGAACATTTACACATAATTCTGAATTTCACTGTGATACTGGCATTTAGTCGGAGATTCTTATGAGAACATCTTGTTTATAACTGCTGCAGATCAAGGGTTTTGTTATAGCCCATGTTCGTGCGCTTGTGTCAAAGTTGTTAGGCAGCCGCTGCCGACAGCTTCACTTCTGTCACTACTGCAAGCGGGCTCACTACACTCAGTTTGTACACTTGGAATTTTGGAAAGGATTGGAGCATGTGTTTTTCTCTCATTAACTACTACGGTAAAATGTTTTCAAAAACACCTGTTCCCAGCAAAAGCAGAGCAAAACTCAACATTTAAAGAAACTAAAATCACCCGAAGAGTGACAAAGAGTGTGAAAACGGAAACGAGAGAATTTCCAGTCACACTGGCAAGATTGCGTGGGTTGGCTGGAAGATTACAATGGGGAATGTGATCTTGAAATTTAAATGAAATTAAAACTAGTTTAACTGAAATTGTATTTCCAGCCACTTTAACCCTTCCCATTAGTCATTTATTACATCATTTTCTTTGAACAAATAAAGCCATTGTAAATTGGAATATCATTATTTTAGAAAATGAAGAACGGTTATAGTTTTGGTATAAAGTTAGAGACATGTTAATAGAAGAATAACTGAAGTAATTATTGTGTCCCTTGTTTGGAATAAGCATGCTTCTCTGTTTTCACAGAGGTTATGTATTCAGAGCCCAGTCTCCAGAAATCAAAGAAAGAGGAGGAAACCAGAGCACAGGCATCGATTTCTTCATCACACAAGAGAGAGTCATATTCTTAGATACACAGGTGAGGATGGCATACAGTAAATTAAGTGAAACTTTCTCTCTTTTTATCTTTAGTATTTTTGGTTTACTTTCAGAATTTAAAGTAAGGCAGAAAGTATGCAAATTGAAATATCTCCTTGGATTAGAAGGATGCCAAGATTTGACTTACAAATACCGGATTTGTTTCTGATTTGTTTCTGTAGCCAATGCTCAGCCCGTCTATTCTGGATCACCTCATCAACAACGATCGCAAGTTGCCTCCAGAGTACAACCTCCCTCACACATATGTAGAGATGCAGGTCAGTGGCTGTATCCAATAATGTGCATTATGTCCAGGGTTCAAATACTGCATAAGAACTTGGATGTTGTTTGGGGGTTGAAAAAGTAAAAGAGATGTTGAAGCTACTTACTTACTTAGCTACTTACTGTTCGGCCAACTGCAGTATGACTGCTTACTGGTCATTTAACTTTTTCTTTACTCACCATTGACTGTATATTAATATGGACAGCACGTCTCTGTTTCTTCCCCCCCCCCCCCCCGTTATGTAAAGTGAAGCCAAAATACCCTGCAACAAGTGCAGACCTATTGCGCTTGTGTTGAGTTTGGAGCCAAAGCCAAAACATTTGCAGTAGTGAGTTGCCTGGTGGTGCCGTTCGATTGACGTCCCAACACTTCTCTAACCAAAGAACACTAACTTGCTCATAAAATACTTCAGGTCGTTACAGTCCACAGCAGAAACATTTCTCATGTCGGTTTGGAGCATATACTCACGCAGTGTTTCCCCTATATGCATCTAGCAGCAGCGGTGCACATTTTTAACGTTAATCTCCCGTACTCCAGAGCAATTCCCTTTAATAGTTAGCGTCCTCTCTCTCACTCACATAGCCCAGCGCTTTATAATTGCGACGAGCGATATAGACTAAAATGACGTACAGGACTTGTTTGTGGATTTAAAAAAAATGGTCTAAATCCATCAATATTTGGGGTAAAGACAAGCTGTAAAAAATATGACAATCACCCAGATCTGATCCACTAAAGAGGAAGATGACTAAGATGTATAATGGCACCAGAAAGCCCTAATGTTAAACCCTTTTCACACATAGGGAAAACTCCTAGATTAGGCTACCCAGCCAGACCC